ATCTATATTTGCTCGAAACTATTGCATCTTATAATGAAACCTTGCACGTGGAATCACGAGGTACAAAGCGTAAATTAACGAAGGAAAATTCAGCCTCATTATGGCACAAACGCCTAGGTCACATCTCTAAATCTAGAGTTGAGCGCCTTGTGTCTGATGGAATTTTAGACTCTCTTGATTTTTCAGAATTTGATGTCTGTGTTGAGTGTATCAAGGGAAAACAGACCAAAATGAAGAAATTTGGTGCCCATAGGACTACAGATGTCTTAGAATTAATTCATACGGACATCTGTGGGCCATTCCCTATGGCGTCTTGGAATGGTCAATAGTATTTTATCACATTCATAGACGACTATTCCAGATATGGGTATCTATTTCTTATCCATGAGAAATCACAGTCTTTGGACGTATTTAAAAAATTTAAGGCCGAAGTTGAGTTACAACTCAACAAACGGATAAAAAGTATCAGGTCTGACCGTGGTGGTGAATACTATGGCAGATATGATGGATCAGGTGAATAACGTCCAGGACCGTTTGCAAAATACCTGGAGGAATGTGGAATCGTCCCACAATACACCATGCCAGGATCACCTAGCATGAATGGTGTATCTGAGAGACGAAACCGAACTCTTAAGGATATGGTAAGAAGTATGATTAGTCATTCTACTTTACCAGAGTCCCTCTGGGGTGAGGCTCTAAAGACAACAACTTATACCTTAAATCGGGTGCCAACTAAAGCAGCTACAAAAACACCTTATGAGCTTTGGGTTGGGCGAGAGCCTAGTCTAAAACACTTGCATGTGTGGGGGTGTCCTGCTGAGGCGAGGCCTTATAAACCTCACGAAAGAAAATTGGACTCTAAAACCGTTAGCAGCTACTTTATTGGCTATGCCGAACGATCACGGGGTTACAAGTTTTATGATCCCACAAATAGGTCAATATTTGAGACGGGAATTGCAACATTTTTTGAGGATGTTGAGTTTGGGGGGAGAAATCCAGTTAGAGACATTGTCTTTGAGGAGGAAGCAGGATTAATCCCACTTCCTACTACTACTTTTGACCAATTACAGGTTCTTATACCTGTCATTGCTCGAGAAGTAACTTCGGATCATCAACCAGACAATGTTGTTCAAGACAATATAGTTCAACCCCTCATTCAAGATGAGGTAATTGTTCTTGAGGAACAAACTCTACAACCTCAACCTCAAGAACCTGTGCCATTAAGGCGATCCACAAGAGAAAGGAGATTTGCAATTTCAGATGATTATATTGTATATCTCCAGGAACATGAGGTAGAAAATAGAATGTCGAAAGACGATCCAATCAACTTTCGCCAAGCCATGGAAAGTTCCAACTCTCATAAATGGATAGAAGCCATGAATGAAGAATATAAGTCTATGCAAGACAATAAAGTTTGGAAACTTGTCCCATTACTAGTTGGTGCGAAGCCTGTAGGTTGTAAATGGATATTTAAAACCAAAAGGGATTCAAATGGTAATGTGGAGAGGTATAAGGCACGTCTTGTAGCCAAAGGCTTTATTCAAAAGGAAGGAATTGACTTTAAAGAAACTTTCTCTCCAGTTTCTACGAAAGATTTTTTTAGGACAATTATGGCGCTTGTTGCATATTTTGATCTTGAGTTGCATCAGATGGATGTCAAAACAGTTTTTTCTAATGGTGACATTGAAGAAACAATTTATATGGTGCAGCCAGAAAATTTTGTGTCGGGAGACCCAAAGAATATGGTTTGCAAATTGACGAAATCCATCTATGGACTCAAACAAGCTTCTCGTCAGTGGTACTTCAAATTTCATCAAGTTCTCACTTCATATGATTTTGAAACTAATGTTGTTGATGAATGTGTGTATCACAAGTTCAGTGGGAGTAAACACATATTTTGGTTTTATATGTTGATGATATATTGCTTACCACAAACGATATAAACTTATTGCATGACACCAAGAGATTTCTATCTAAAAATTTTGAAATGAAAGATCTTGGTGATGCTTCCTTTGTATTAGGAATCGAAATACACCGAGATCGTTCTCGGGGTATTCTGGGATTATCACAAAGGAGCTATATCGAAAAAGTACTCAATAGATTTGGCATGCAAAATTGTAGATCAGGTGAAACCCCGGTTTTTAAGGGAGACAAGTTTAGTCTCAGTCAATGCCCGAAGAACAGTCTTGAAATTCAAGGAATGCAGAAGATTCCTTATGCCTCGGCTGTAGGGAGTCTAATGTACGCCCAAGTATGTACACGTCTGGATATTGCGTTCATAGTTGGCATGTTAGGCAGATATTTAAGTAGTCCTGGCATGGATCATTGGAAAGCAGCCAAACGAGTTATGCTGTATTTACAGAGAACAGAGGAATATATGCTCACATATAGGAGGTCAGATAAGTTAGAGATCATTGGGTATTCCGACTCTGATTTTGCTGGATGCCAAGACAGTAGGAAATCCACATCAGGCTATATTTATTTGTTAGCTGGCGGAGCAATTTCTTGGAGGTCTGCAAAGCAGACGCTCATAACTTCATCCACCATGGCCGTAGAGTTTGTAGCATGTTATAAGGCATCAAATCAAGGAATATGGCTGCGGAATTTTGTCACTGGGTTGCGTATTTTGGAAGGCATTGAAAGACCACTTAAGTTATACTGTGACAATAAGTCTGCAGTTTTATATTCCAACAACAACAGGAGCTCGACAAAATCAAAGCATATTGATATCAAGTTCCTAGTTGTAAAAGAAAGAGTAGAGAGTGGACAGATTTCCATAGAGCACATTGGGACAAACTTCATGATAGCGGATCCACTTATGAAGAGACTACCACCCAAGGTCTTTTATGAGCACACTGCTCGTATGGGTGTTGTTCTCTTTGAGAACATTTTGGTTTAGTGGGAGTTTGTATTTATATTACTGCTCTATGTCTGCCTTGAGTTTTATCTATGTAATTAGATTAATTTTTGCAAAAATGAAGTATTTAGTTTATTACACTCTGTTACGTATTGTGAAGTATTGATCTCAATAAAGTTAAGTAGGACCAGTTGGAAATAGGCATGTATGGATCACATTACATGTAATTTCCATGCTATGCATCCATGATTGATCTATGTCATTGAGCTGTATTGGTATACGTGACCATTGGTGGGTCGAGTTACGATTAATGTAACAAAGACCGCTTTGATCCTATATTAATATAGTTGATGGACAAGATTGTTTGTATACCCTCAGGTCATGATAACAAAGTTCTGAGCTCACTAAAGTTAAACACATTTATTAGGTTACATATGTGGTCCAGTGGGAGATTGTTGGATTAATTTCTAATTGAGACCACATATTTAAATGTGTGTGTGTTATCATTTATCAAAAGCCTCAAAATTTAAGTGGTCTAATTTAGTTAGCAGGCTTAAAGGGTATATTTGTCATGGACCTAGTGTGTAGATGCTATTTGTACAATTTCTATTTTTATGAGGGGCAGAAATAGAAATTGTGTAAGTTGGTTATTGAATGGAGTTCAACTGCCACGGTTGGTTTTTTATTTGAACTGCCACCAATACAAATGGTTATGGTCTCAATCCTGCCATGCATATGAAAGAACAACATAACTTCTTCAAATCCTCTCTTGGAAAAGTAAGCATTAAGGGCATAGGAAAGGATTGGAAATCATTACCACAGGCAATTCCGTCTATCAATCACGCTTCCATTTAACCACAACGATGGAATCGGGTATGCAATTTTGTGTTTGATTTCTTGATAATACACATGATATATGATCCAAAGTTTAAGTTTTTTTGTTCTGAGATTAATAGCTAACACTTTGCGAGGTCACTTCCATACCTGGACCGAGCTAACACTTGGACTGTGGTCCACTTACTAAGCCCTTCTTACTATGGCCCATAGAACGCCCCATTATCCAGCTCGGCCCAATTTACATAAAAATTACCCTCTTAGTTCTTTTTCTTCTTAGCCTTTTCAATGGTTCTACTTCAAGTTGGATGTCAACTAGGAGTTACCATTTTCTGCAGCTATTCCGTCGTTGGTCGCCGGCCGTCGGTGGGTGTCTGCCCGCCATTGATGGTCGTACGAATTACGTTGCTTGATTTCATTGTTGATTTGAGTTAAATTCAAATTTTATTTTGCAGAGAGATATGATAGAGGAATCTAATGTAGAGAGAAAAAGTGATTTTTTGCTCAGAAAGAAAATAAGCGTTGTGTTTGGAAGTAAAGAGAGAGAAAATGACTAACTGTACTTAAAGCTTTGTTTGTCATGTACTAAAAAAGTCAAAAAGTCACTATCCTATTTAAGTCACATCATCTTATTTAAGTCACATCACATCTCTATCACATCATTTCAAACCCAATCCATATTTCATAAAAAGTAAAAAAGTACACTTATTTAGAACATCTCAAACCACCCCTAAGTCTGCTACTAGTATATAGCTGGCATGAACACTCAGGATTGTTTGAGAAAATCTAGATAAGGGTTGTTGAAGAGAGTTAAATAAATATATTTTTTAATTTTTTATGAGAAGATATGTAAAATATGAAGAGATAATGTGATTCAAATAAATATATTTATCTAAATTATTTAGCGATATGTTGAGAAGTTAGTTAAAAGTTATCTTGTAGTTTTAATCTATGTTGGATAAAATCATCTCTCACATTATTTATATGTTTTTTTTAAAAAAAATAAAAAAAGTAATTTTTAATTGTCTTTTAACTTAAAAGTTAAAAAGTTATTCAAAAAATTAAAAAACCTATAATTTATACTAAAAATTCAAAAATTCTATTTTCTCTCTATTTTTTCACATCTTTTTATAAAAAATCAAATAGTCATTCTAAATACACTAATTTTTTTATCACATATTTTAATTAAAAAATTAAAAAAAAATATTAAAATAACATATTCACAAACAAGATGTAATAATGAGTAAAATGTACCAAATAAGCATGTGTACCCTGTCTGCACACAAAAATTCATCCACCTTTTTCGCTCTATAAAAAGGTGAGAGGTCTCTCTTTCTCCTCATGCTATTCCAACAATACACTTTGCATTTGGGAAAGCCGAATATAGTAGAAAAGCAAGAAACTTTGCATTTGGGAACGCGGAATAGAGTCGAAAAGCAAGAAGCGTGGAGTTTCTAACAAGTAAGTTGTTTGAGTTTCTAAATACCGCTATTTTTGTCTTAATTTTTTAAAAATATTTAGAGAAGTTACCAAAAAAAAAAATCAGGATATAATTATTGTAACAAAATAAAACTTTAGATTTTAGTTTTATCAATGTAAATCTTTTGATTTGTTATATAAAATTAGTATTTTAATCATTAAATTTAGTATAAATATATATAAAATTTTTAAAATAATTTTTTCGTTTAATTTAATAACTTAAATACTATTAGGTGAAATTAGTAAGAAAAACAAAACCTAATAGTTAACTCTAGTAACAAATTAAATCTTAAAATTTTAAAATTATCAATTTAATTTTAACACCAGTAGTCTGTCCATACCACTTCCTCTCTCGGATTGTCTACCAACAGCACACCTTCACGACACCCCTCCGTCAAATCGAGCAAATCCACCACTGAAGTCTCTCTCCTACTTCTCCTTCCAGGAGATCCACCACCTCTGACGTTTTCCATTCCACTTACCTCATATCAACTCTGTCGACCCTTTTGCCTCCCTCACCAACCCCTCCATCAGTAGATCCATAGATTTACAATCCTTAATTTTATGCCAAGTTTGTTATCTCCCAAAAACACAAAAAGTTAAAAAATTGTTTAAAAAATTAAAAAATTAGCATTACTTATCAAAAAAAATATTAAAAAATTAATTTTTCATACAAAAATATAACCCAGCAATCATGTATGTTGAGCGTGGTGCCGCGTTTGTTAAAAAAAATTGCACAATTTGGGTGTAATTTTCACACACTGCTGTTTCGGCCCGTTGGGACCCATCACGGGTCTCGTTTTGATAATCTGAACGGTCAAAGTGTAGAACTCGTCGAGTACTATATGTTTGTAAAAAATCACTTTAATCGGATATCGATAACTACATGATCAAATCATTTTTGTATAAAAAAATGATGGTGTTATAATTAACGATTGAAAAAAAAAACGAATCTGATCAGATAGCTATCGATATCTGATCAAAATGATTTTTTATAGATATATAGTACTCAACGAGTTTTACACATTGAACGGTTCAGATTATCAAAATGTGATCTGTGATGGCCCCCATAGGCCAAACAAAACCGTCCAGTGCAATGCCCGAAAAGTAACCAATAATTTCTTATCATCAATTCGGCTGTGTAGATTGTACGGCTGTACAACACACTACACTATCTTCTCCTACACACTTCTTTATACAATTTTTTAATACACATTTTTTCATAAAAAGTCAAAAAGTTAACCCAAACATCCATATTTTTTTCTCAACTTTTTAGTCTAAAAAGACAAAAAGTATACTTATTTAGGACACCTCAAACAGTCCCTTATTCACATTTTATTTATTTATTTTTTTTTTCAAGTTGCCATTTGACAAAAAAAAAAAAAAATTAGTTAGTCTTCGTTTGGGAAGAGTTAAAATAGCTTGACTTTTTGAATTTTTTGCTATTTTAACTAATTTTTTTAGCCTTGTATAGTTTTTGTTTTCAACTTTTATGAAAAAAAAAAGTGTAATAATTATGGTTTGGATGTGATATTTTATCTTATTAACTCATGTAACCAATTTTTTCTTTTATGTTTTTTAGTGAAAATTCCATTGCCAAACATAGCTTTAGTTTTTTGGACTAAAAACTTGGTTTAACAATTTTTTTTGACTTTTTGACTTTTAAGAGAGAGAGTGAAATAATTATGGTTTGGATGTGATATTTTGTCTTATTAATTTATTTAACTTATTTTATCTTTTGTATTTTTTTAGATTTGTTTTGAGAAGTATGTTAAAAGTCAATTTTTAAAATTTTTAAAATTTTTTAAAAAATACGAAATAAATAGAAAAATACTATAATTCAAAAAAAAGTTTTTTTTTTTAAAAAAAAATTGACTTTTAGTCCCAACCTGCCAAACGAAACTCAAATTTCAAATCCCAATTTATCCACTTGAAATTTTTTTGCAACAATGATAGAGACCACTAATTTTGGAGCTCTAAAAAGACCACTAATGACATGGCACTCAATAAAAAAAGAAAAAAAATATAACACCAAGGCCAAAACATCAAATCATTTATGATGGGATCTACTGCCACATCATTAGTGGTAGCACTAATTAGTACTCCCACTCATTTTCCATTTTTTTTTGTACAGATAAGATACCATGTTGACACCTATGTGTGGTACCAATAGCCAACCACAACTCAACAATTAGGGGTGAGCAGCGGATATATCGATCTGTTAAAATCGATCAAATCGAACCGATCCGTCGCATTTTGGACGGATGCGTGATGACGAGCGAACGGTTGCGAATTGATTTTCTTCAATTCGCCAATTTGGCGAACGGATGGCAGATTTGAGATTCCTTTGGCCGCAACCGAACCGTCAAACCGCGAGCACCCCGAATAATTTATAAGATTTTATGTTTTCTGTTTTCAATTGAAAAGGAGCTTAAATATTCTGTTAAAAAAAAGTTTTCAACTTGAATATATTTTTTGAATTGAAAATAATAAACGTATTATTTATCTATATTTTTTTTATTTTTAAATTTAACTCTAAAAATAATAAATAGAAAATATGATATATGCTGGTTGGTTTTTGTTTTCAAAAACATATATAGATGTAACAATACAGAGACATACAATCTCTACTACTGCCCTGTTCATGATTTTGGTGGTTTGAATTATTATTATATTTTAATAACCACAAATTGTAATACTTTATGTGGATGAATCATGTTGTGATTGTAATATGTGGATGAGCCATGCAGTGATTGTGATATTCTAAAGTTTCAAACTTTCTTTTTTTGGATGAGACATACAGTGATTGTAATAGTTTTTTAATTGACTGTAATACTTTCTTTTTTTATTTTTGTTTGAGGAAGTGCACAAGTTGAATTATATTGAAAATTTATAAAATCTTAAACCGCCAAACTGATTCGCATCCAACCGCCAAACTGATTCGCATCCATCCGCCAAACCGCCAATCCGCTCAATCCACATCCGCCGGATTGGCGGATGGATGCGGATTGATTTTTTCAATTCGCCAATCTAACAGACGGATGACAGATTAAAAATTCCGTGACCACAACCGACCCGCGCCCATCCCTATCAATAACACATCCCTTAAATAGTGTTATAGATTTCCCACGTAAAAAAAAACGCTAACCAGAACTAACGGGAAAAAAACGCGGGCTCCGATTAGTTTAGTTTTTGACAAAAAAAAAAAAAAAAATTTAACTTTTAAGTTTATTTTAAAAGATAATTTATCAAAAAAAAATTAAAAATTAAAAATTTATTTAGTTGTGGGTTTTGAAAATAATTTTGAGATAATTTATAATTTTTTTCTTGGTAATTGAATAAATGGGTGTGATAAAAAATTTAATTAATTGATTGATGTATAAAATATAAGAGACTAAAGTGGAGAGAAAAGAGACAGAGAGAAAAAATGATTAATTAATCTATTAATAAAAAAAGAATGAGAAAATGGAGAGAAAAATAATTTTAAGGGTCGTTTGGTTTTTGAGTTGAGCTAAAAAATCATAAAAAGAACAAAATAAATTTGTCAAAACAAAGCTAAAAAGACAAAAAAATCAAATAAGAATACCAAACATCAAAAAAGTCTCAAGCTAATAAAGTTAAAAAAAACTAAAAAACCAACAAAAAAAAAAAAAAGTTATTACCAAACGAACATTTAAAAAGAATTTTAAATTTTAATAAATTATAGTAAAATTTTTAATTTGTCCATATAATATATATTAAAAAAAATTCATTGATTGTTTTAAAGAAGTTTAGTAATGGCCTAGTGGCGAAGGTCATGTTCAATTCCTAAGAGGGGCAAGTAGCTGGCTATCTTCGGAGACCTCGTATAAAGTCATGTATGCTTGGCTTCACCATATTAAACTCTCTTATTATTTTAATTCATGTAATAGTTAAAGTGTTTTTATTAGAATTTTGTTAGTCACATAGAGAGATGTGGTTATTTTTTTTTATATAAAAATATTTATTTTACTTTGTTTATTTTTTTATTTTCACACTATCTGCATTACTTCCTGCTCTTTTGACCTTACTAAAAGGGAAAACAGTATAATTATATCAAAACTATAGAACTTATTGTATTTTTTTTCAAATTTTAAAGTAGCTAACTAAAATTTATCAGCAATGCTACGTACATATAATTTTTATTTGTACAAAACAAAAATACTCATAATATTTAATATATGGTCTATTATTGAAGATGTGAGTTATACCATACAAAGTGTTGAATCATAATCACATATTAATTTTTTAGTAAATTTTTGTACATGAATTTTGTGTATAAATTTTTTATTTGAAATATTTATAGTAATGCCAGTGAAAAACTCACACACATTTTGGTGTTTGTGCAGTTTCTAGTCCCAGCAGTTCAAAGAACTATATCAATTTCCATTCAAGCTTAATATATAAAGTGAAAATATGGGTATAAATAAGCATATTTTTTTTGTATCAATGTTGAGTTACATAAGATGTCAACCCTAAGTCAATCTATATACTAAACTAAGACATCTTAAGCAATGTTTGGAACTTTTTTTCTTCCAGTAAAAACATAAATGATAGAATGGATATTAAAATTTTGAACAACCTAGATGGAAGTACATATTGTTGTATTTGGTACGAAATGTTATCATTAAGTTACATAAGTTGCAATAAAGTCTATACAATAAGCCTTGCACCGTAGCAACTTCCCAATACGTGATGATTATAAAAAAGGAACTTTTTTGGTACGCACCCCTTACATTTAACTTCTTGTGCATTTTCTTAAACATGCTACACATTTTTGTGGCATATGTTACTTAATTTTTTAGTAAAATTATGATAATTTATGATTTAAAATTAAAATTATACATTTTTGTTGTAATGCTATGTATTTTTGTAATAATATTATACATTTTGTGGTTGAAAATTATTGCAAATTACAAAAATGAATAACTTCATTTTTAAATAACAAATTATCATACCTCAAGCAGAAGATCACATAACATTTTTTTTTTTTTTATAAAAATGCATAATAAAGTGTGTATAGTGTATACCCTTTAGCAAATGTATTTCCTTAAACTCACAAGCGTGGCCCAGTTGGTTGAGGGCAAGGACCAGGGACCTAGGAGTTTGCTCTTCTCTAGGTCTCAGGTTCGAATCCCACCCCCAGCAAACTACTGGCGGGCCACTGCGTCTTTGTCCGGTCGATCGGCTCAGGGCCCCGAGATTAGTCGAGGTGCGTCACTCCGAAGGGGTGCTGGCCCGGATACTCGGTTATCAAAAAAAAAATAAAAATGTATTTCCTTAAGATTTCCATAACTGCAAAGCACCCTTATTTTTAGTCGACACGTTTCTATTAAGGTTGTGTTTGAATCATAGACTTAGGTAATGATTTGGAAACTAAAAGAGAAAGAGTGAGTGAATTCAACTACATTTCACCCAGCTTTTTTTGTTCCTATTTTAAATCACTACTCAAATTTATGATCTAAATATAGCCTAAAAGTAAAATGGTTTTTTGACCGTTGTTTTTTTAACTGAGCTGCAGTTGCTACATTCGGTGACAATTAAAAAAAGTCAAATGTCACATTAATTTATAACATATATATATATATATATTATTAAAAAGCATGACAATTAATTTGTTTCAGCAAAGTCATGGCCGAAAGGGAACCGGAAGAAAGAGCAGATAATGTCTCCATTAGTATTGCCAAAAAGCTTGCTAATTTTTACCATCCATCATCTGAGTGTTGTATCTTCAGAATGTATGATAACTTACGGAGGCAAAATGAGAAAGCCTATGAACCATCAATAGTTGCTATTGGTCCTTACCATCGAGGTAAAGCTAAGCTACAACAGATGGAAGAGCACAAATTATGGTACCTACAACAACTTCTCAATCGAGAAAAAAAAAAGAGTGTGAATGATTACATCATGGCCATAAAAGAATTGGAAGAAAGAGCACGCAATTGTTATGCAGAAACCATTCGCATCAAATCAGATGAGTTTGTGGAAATGATGCTTCTTGACAGCTTCTTTATAATTGGGTTATTTCGCAAGTTTAAAGAGGTGGAATTGGCAGATGAAAATGACCATATTTTCCAATCACAGCAGATTCAAGATGCATTACGGCGTGACTTAATTTTACTTGAAAATCAGCTTCCATTTTTTATCCTTGTTCGTTTGTTCAACATGACTAAAACGGATTTAGACTTGCAAATCATTCAAATAGCCTTAACTTTTCTACAATTCAACGCACCAGACCAGAAGTTAGAAGCTCCTAGAGGAATCTCAATCAACAACATCAAACATCTACTTCACCTAGTACATAGTTGTTGGTGCTTTAAGTTTTCTGAGATGAATAGAAATGCAACGGAAAAGCAATTGGAGTTTATAAATTCTGCAACAGAGCTGCAAGAGTCGGGGATTCAATTCAAGAAGGCTGAGGAAAGAAACTTGTTTGATATAAAGTTCATTAGTGGGATATTGGAAATCCCATTTCTATCCATCGAAGCAGAAGTAGGTGAGTCTTTCTTCACAAATCTAGTTGCCTTTGAGGTGTGTCCTTCATATCATTCGCCAAAGTACGTTTGTGACTATGCCGTCTTCATGAATTGCCTCATCAATTCCTCCGAGGATGTTCGTTTACTTCGTCATAGTGGAATTATCGAAAGTTGGGTAGGTGATGATGCAGAACTTTACTCCATGTGGCACAAGTTGTTCAACGTCACCCTAACAGATACCAAAAAATTTAGTTACTCTCAAGTTTTCAATGATGTAAACAACCATTGTAAGCGACGCCGAAACATGTGGATGGCAAACTTAAAGCGGAATTACTTCAACAGTCCATGGGCATTGATTTCAATTTTGGCTGCTACCATACTACTGCTGCTTACCATGGCACAAACTATATTTTCCATTCTTTCTTTTGGCAAAGGCAGCTTTAATTGAGTCCCTATTATTGTTTTCTTAATCGTGTGTGTTAAATTTGAATAAGCGATGTTATATGTTATTTGATTTGTTTCATCGTTTTGTGTCATATGATACATTTGTAAGAGGTGATAAATTCTTATTTGTTAATCGAGTGTGTTAAATTTAAATAAGCAACGATGCTGTAGTTACTTCATTTGTTTCATTGTTTTGTGACATATGATACATTGTCATGTAAGAGGTGATAAAATTATTTTGTGCCATATGATACAATAATGTCATGCATGAGATGATAAAATTGTGAATAAATAAATAAATGAAGTATGGATGACATTACAACAAGTTAGATCAATATCAAACTATCTATAAAAAAGAAATATTGCCCTAAATAACAAGATATATTGTATCCAATCCAGTTGATGTATGAATACTTTATAAAGCAGATTAGATATATTTGAATCAGTCAACTAATCTTCTCCAAACTTATTTTGTTCCTCCCCTAACCACACTCATATTTGTAATTTAGTGCTTTAGGATGACTCCAAAACCAATTCCATAAAACCTGAGTTCAAACACGCTTTAGAATTCGTAAAGGTAAAATTGTCACCCTTCTCTCGAGCTATGAAAATCCAATGCGTTTTTGAAATGTTGACAGCTTAAATGGTTACTCAACACCCGACACAACAATGTAGCTAGTTCAGGAATCTCTACCAAGGAACTGAACATTCTACACGCAACTCTAATACTAATTTTGACTAAATTTGAACTTCTAAAATAATTACAGTTCAAATAAAAACAATAATTACAGTTCAAATAAAAACAATAATGATTTAACTAAATTTTTGTTGAAAGGATTGTCAACCTAGTGTAGATTCCAGACATTAACAATCTCCCACTTTTGACAATTCCAGGACAAAACCTACCCAAGCAAATATGCCTAAAAGCCACAACAATGATCATCTTTTTAACTCCAAGTATTAGAGATCTCCGGTGAAGCCAAACAACCCTCACTCTGCTCATTGGGGGCAGGGGTGGCCCTCTTGTTCGTTTTCGCGCTACCAGTGCTTGTTATTGGGTTTGTTTCCGACAAAGATCCTTTTCTCCAGCCTTCCCCTTCCCTCCATCACCGATCTCTTCTCCACTACCCACTTGCTTTCTCTCTTGTCACATTGGTGGACACAATGCTTGACAAACAACAACTTCCACACATTGATGCTTCACCTGATAGGGGCTTCCAACAATATCCACGTATCAACACTTTCAGTGTCCTGATCTAGCATGTTTGGTTATTGTTCAATCAAATCTAAATATAGATTTGTTTTGTGTTTTTTTCCAACATCCTTTGAGTTGTGCACATTTTGAGTAGTAAGACATTTTGCCTGACTTCGGATTTTGCTTGTTTATTTTGGGCTTTGTTAAATTATCTGTGTTGTGATTGTTTAAGAATGTTGAAAAAATGTTTTCTTCTTAATTCTAAATTGAAAAATCGACGTTTAATCAAAGAAGAAAAGGGTAAAGGACTAGCTACGTCGCAAGACTCTAATATGTCACAGAGCAAGACAAATGGCATGCCCCATTTTGATAAGTTTTCTTGTATGATCCTCTAGAAGTGGCACTCATTAAGGATACTCTTTCAAATGATTTTGAATTTGATTGGGAATCTGCGATGAGATCACTAAAAGGCTACTCAAATTTAGGGAATGATGCAGACCTATTCTCACAACAAGAATATGATATGCCTAATCGCACTCCCTCTACAAGGAATCCTGCTAACTTTTCTTCTATAGAAGATGTTTGCGCTATAGGAGGTGATAAAGGAGGCGATATAAGCAATTGCGGCCCATCAAAGCAAAATCGTGAATAGGGTATTAACACATCCCAAGGCGGTTATAGCTGGTCTGAAGCTAATGTTATAAACAAAGCCCAAAGACTCTTGGAGGAGAAAAAAACAAGTAATCATAGGCAGAAACTTCCTTCTTATCGATTCTAGCTTGCGTAAGACACTTAAAGTTGGTAACACAGTTGAATTTTTTTATCGATCTAGTCTTTCGGTTACCAAGCTTCAAGTGAAACAGATTGACCAAACAAATATGGATATTGATTGAGATCATACTGCCCAAGTAGGTAATCCAAGTGAGGGCACTTATGAACGTACTCCCGATATAAATTTTGTTGGTAAGTCTACTGAATCCCATAGTCTAGAGTTCAGTTCTGGTGAAAAATCTGCACAAATTCAAATGGTGTCCAAGAGACGTGTGAAGAGGGTAGTGTTGTATTGTAAAAGTGGGTCCAAGAGAATCCAAGCACCTCAACCTTTTGTCAATGTCAACTATGCTACTGTTATGGAAGCTATTCAGTTTTCCCAAAGCAATAATCATGAAAAGCAGAAAAGAGAACATTGCATATAGAAGATAGTCAAAGAAACCCAAGCCGTTTCCTCGCTCCCTTTAAGACGGAGCTCTTCATCAGTGACTTGATCTTTGAGGCATGGTATGGTCCTTGTTTTCTTGTGTTTTTTTGCAGTTGTTCGCTAGTGTGTTGTTGTTTGAAGATCCTTTTGCTGGTTTTAGTTGGTCTTTCGGGGGTTTTGGTACTTCTTAGTTTCTTCTTCTCATGGTTTTCTGGTGTTTATTATCAGTTATTGTATAGTTGATATGGTTGTCTTGTACTTGACTTTGGCTTTCGATATATGGATTCAATTTTAACTTTCTTCAAAAAAAAATTTAAAAAAAAAATTGATCATCTTCTTTGGAGTTCGAGAGAAATCTCAAAGAATATAGGGCAAATTACACTAACGGTCCCTATAGTTTGGGAGCTTGTGTCATTTTGGTTCCTGACTTTTCAATTGTGACACATTCGATCCTGAATTTTGAACCTTGTTCCAAAGAAGGACAATTAAAGATACTATTGCTTAATTTCAAGGGCAAAATAGTCAATTTGATAAAATATAAACTAATTTGACAAAAATAAATGTCAAAAAAATATTTTTGAATTTTTAAAAATTATTTCTACCCACTAAAGATAAAATTATGTAAACTTGATAAATCTTTTAGACATTTTTTTTTTTTACCAAATTAATTTTTATTATATGTTTGGATGGTGATCATGTAATGAGTGGTTGTTTTTATTTTTATTAAATTAATTTTTATTTTTCTAAAAGTCAAATATAGAGACAACTTTGATATCATTATTAAACCAATCTATTAAATCAAAAAATCCAAAACTAAAAATATTTCATATATTAAATATATCAATTACACATTAAATCCTAACAAGCACCCATTACATGATCATCATTCAAAAAATATTAAAAATTAATTTGGTAAACAAAGAATATAGGGCAAATTACACTAACGGTCCCTATAGTTTGGGGCTTGTGTCATTTTGGTTCCTAACTTTTCAATTGTGACGCATTCGACCCTGAAACCTTGTTCCAAAGAAGGACAATTAAAAATACTATTGCTTAATTTCAATGGCAAAATAGTCAATTTGATAAAATATAAACTAATTTGACAAAAATAAATGTCAAAAAAATATTTTTGAATTTTTAAAAATTATTTCTACCCACTAAAGATAAAATTATGTAAACTTGATAAATCTTTTAGACATTTATTTTTTTACCTACCAAATTAATTTTGATTATATGTCTAGATGATGATCATGTAATGGGTGGTTGTTTTTATTTTCATTAAATTAATTTTTATTTTTCTAAAAGTCAAATATGGAGACAACTTTGATATCATTATTAAACCAATCCATTAAATCAAAAAATTCAAAACTAAAAATATTTCATATATTGAATATATCAATTACACATTAAATCCTAACAAACACCCATTACATGATCATCATCTAAACATATGATAAAAATTAATTTGGTAAAAAAAATAAAAATAAATGTAAAGATTTATCAAGTTTACATAATTTTATCTTTAGTGGGTAGAAATAATTTTTAAAAAATCAAAAATATTTTTTTGACATTTATTTTTGTCAAATTAATTTATATTTTATCAAATTGAAGA